TCAATGTTAAAACAGCTTATTTGTCTTCTGAGAACAAACAAACAGGAAATATTTACTGCATTTTAATATATTTCTTTGTTAACGTAACTAAGATTCTGTAAATCTGCGTCTAGAACGTTTCGTTAATTTCTAGTTAACATAATAACTTTTCAGAGTACTTGGGACAGTTTCATAAATCCTAGTTAATATAATAATTTTTCAAATCAGTTGAGCCTGATCACCGCTTGAGTATGTTTGAAAAATCTATAATCAGCAAAGCCCCAATGGGAATGAGTTACATTGCTCAATATTTATCCTTTGTACAATTTTAAAAAGTGCATGATGAAGATAAAGAACACTTCCCAGTAAACTTTTCATTTACTAGTTTTGGTATCAAACACCATATTGTACTGACTTATTTACCTTGGGCACTGACGTAGTTACTATATACAATAACGTTAATTAATATGTACACTATGCTTAATTACTGCGGACACTGACCTTAGGTGCTATGTACGCTGACACCTTAGATACTTGGACACTAACTTTTGTTACTGCGCATATTAACCCTCGTTACTCGGTTAAGTTTAGTAAAGATAAAACACTGAACGTGAGAAAATCCTCTTATTACCTCACTGAATTGTAGAACACAACTCCTAGGGCCTGATGTAATACGCCTGGATTGTAAAACAGGACTAGTAGGACTTGAAACAATACACCTGAAGTGGGTATTACGACTATTAGTACCTAATGTAATACGTCTGGATTGGGCGTTTGGACATGATATCTTACGTCTGATTTAGGAATTACAGCTACTATGTTTTATAAATTTTATCTTACTCGTGTATTACAACTATCTGATTATTGATGTAGTATCAATTTATAGTGACATGACAACCAGAACAAGGTAAAGAAACACTAAAGCTATATCTATCTCCATCCAGAATAAAGTAAAGAAATGCGAGAGCTATATCTCAACCAGAACAAGGTAAAGAAACACTAGAACTATATCTATCTCAACCAGAACAAGGTAAAGAAACACTAGAGCTATATCTATCTTCACCAGAATAAGGTGAAGAAATGCGAGAGCTACATTTATCTCCATTACAACAAGATGAAGAAAATCCTAGAGCTATATCGAACAGAACAAGAAGCGGAAAGCTCAAGAGCTATATTTATCATTCACCACAATAAGTTGAAGAAAAACGAGAGCTAACGCTATTTCCAACAGAGCAAAATGAATAACCCAAGAGTTATATTTATCTTCACAACAACAAGGTGAAAAAAGCCTGAGAGCTATATTTTTCTCCACCAGAAATGTGAGACTTATAGCTATCTCTAACAGAAGCAGGTGAAGAAAGCCCCCTATCTCACTCCACCACAAAAAGGAAGATATAGATACAGATATAATGGTGATATAATAGGAATGTTCCACAATCACTTGCTGCCTCAGTAAGATATCAGTATAACGCAGAACACATATGTCTGTGTTGTCATATTGAGAATTTGCGATTGTATTTTCGTAAATAGAATGATCCCGGTTATGCTATTATAAAGCTGTACTGTTGTAGGAAACATTGGATTTGATGACGTTTGTTTCTATAAAACGAAACACCACAATCACAATAAATCAGAGTGTAAACGAAGGTTGTTTTTTTTTAAGAAGAACTTAGAAATATATATCCATATCACATTAGAGAGAAGTCTCTATTCTAAGTTTCTTGCACGTTAGGAGATTTTTTAAATTTATACACTTTTCACTAATAACTTTTCTTATTGTTGTAACTTTTTCTTCTTCTTAACGGGAAAGAACAAATAGATCCCATAAGAAGCTGCCACTGTTAAACCATTCTTAACTTCAAAATTTACTGTCAAGAAGAAAACATGTGCCTTTTGGTTGGTTTTTCTTGGGAGCCGCAGTAGTGTAACTGTGACGTACATTTTAGTTGTTATTGTAAGCTGCAGTAGTCGAACTATGAAGTACATATTTAGTTTTTCTTGTAGACAGCAGCAGTAGTCTAACTATGACGAACATTTTAATAGCTGTTATGATCAGCAGTAGTCTAACTATGACGAACATTTTAATAGCTGTTATGATCAGCAGTAGTTTAATTATGACGTAGATATTTAGTTGTTTTCTAAAGTGCGTCTATTTTCTTGTAGCAAAGCTACATTGAGCTATATATTGTGTCCATCGAGAGGAGTCGAACCCCTAATTTGAGCGTTGTAAGTCCGACGACGTACTACTGCCTCATCGGAGGACATTTTTCTAAGGAGCTGCACTAGTCTAACTATGACGTGCATGTTCATATATTCTTCTAGAGAGCAGCACTAGTCTAATTATGACGTACATGTTTAGTCGTTCTTCTAGAAAGCTGCACTAGTCTAACTATGGCGGGATCTACGAAGTCGATTATTAAGAATTTTCACAAATCATGTAAAGCTATTGTTTGTATGAGGCTTAAAGTCTAAAAAATTGGATTAATGTGGCGCCCAACAACAACAAAGAAAGAGAACAAATTGTTCAAAACTTTTTACAGTTTTTTCTTTCCACTCTTAAAGAAATAACTACATTTTTTAAGAAAGAGGACAGCACGATGTTCCAGTAAGCCTGACGTGTGATCTGTTATAGACTCTTTAACAAAGACTATACTACTTTTTAGTATCAAAATAAATCTCTAAAACGAGTATCCTGTGCCCACTGGGACACAGATTGGCGTGCAAGTTTCATTGAAGCCAATGTGGCTTTATGTAAGACCAAAACATACCACACAGAATATTCTAATATCATTAACTTCTGATAAAAGCAATCTACTGATTTAGTTGAATACTAAGGTTTAACCCATTAAATATTGTAGCTAATTTAATATACCACTCTTGCTTATGATAATTAGAATGTATTTATTCATCAGTTCGATACCCTCAATGTTATTGATATTTTCCTTGCGTTATCCTACAAAGTCAAGATTTTAATAGATGACATTTTAAAACTCAAATGTTTAATAGTCAACAGTTTAAATAAATCCGGAAAATTTCAAGGCACATGCCTGTTATTGATTACTTAAAGTATTTTATCTAATGATTGTTTCAAATGCATTCCATAACTTCGTTCATAGGTAGGTATTATATTCACACATAAATTGTGAATCATTTGTAGTCTGGTTGCCTCTGAACAATATGCTTTCTTGTTTATCTATTGAACCAGCATATTTCTGTAGGTAATCTGATCATAGAAACTAGTAAAACATTAACTATCTAACTTAACCTATTATCTTTGAAAAGGGAGGTAACAATGATTAACTTAAAATAAAAAAATAATCAACGATTTTCAAAAGTTCCTATAAAAACTTTATCTAAAGGTTAAAGCACCCCAGTTAAAAACAACTGTAACTTTATCAACCTTGTAACTTCAGGTTGCCATCAGGTTTAATTGTTTTACAAACTTCGTTATATTTTTATACATTGTATATGTACAGATAATTTAAGTATTAAAGTCAAATAAATAAAAATACAACTTTTAGAAAAACTTGGAGCATCGCGATTTAATATTATATTTTCAATTTAAAATAATTATTTTGTATTTAATGACGCCCGGTGGCTCAGCATGGGCGTGAGAGCTTCAAACGCAAAATAATAGGGTTCGATCCCTGCGAATAGCCCATTATGCGTCTCTTCATTAAAAGAAAACAAAGGTATATATATAATTCCATTATAATAGTTCAGTAGTCATCCAGTTAATTTCATGGTTAGTTTCTGAAGCATGTTCAGCAAGACAAAATTGATTAATTTTACTTATTTTTAACAATTAATTTATATTCTTTTAAGCGGTGGTTTAATTAACAAATCGTTTGCCCCACGTGAACTTAATTACATTAACTTTTCGTTTGGCAAATACCACTGTCGTTTCCCAAAACTCATAGTTTATTAAAAAAAAAGAAATAAGTAAGTGTGTTATTTAACTTATTAGAAGGATTATTTCGAAAACTAAACTATTTTAATTTGATAAAGATTAAAGTAAACAAGTAGAATTGTGAACATAACTTTGTTTGTTCTAGATTCTTACCTCTCCGTCCATAATTTCTAGGTTACAACCTCCATCCGTACGTACACATCTTATAATCAAGTTCGTTCATTAAATGATTATTTTCTGGATAAATAAAAAAGGATATCTCTATTAACCACCTCGATGAAAGGTGACACGAAACTTTATTAGAGGGAAGGGTGATAGTTAATCAGTAAACATAAGTATTAAATGAATAATCATTATTTCTTATAACTAAGACATCTAAAATGAGTAAACATTTATTTTTCTCAATCTCTATAGTAAATTTTATGGTTGAATGTTGGTTTTTTAAGTTGTATAAAAATTCATTTAATTTACCTGTACTATGTCCATACAACAATAGTGTTATCGACATATCTTTGCCAATATGTTTGGTTTGGTTTAAGAGAAAAGAGGGTATATTGCTGTGTTGCTTTAGCCCTTAATTAAAGTTTATATTATATGATTTCGTTTTTAAATAGTTAGTTTTCTTTGTTTCCAAAATATTAGAACAATGCAAAGAAAATTTTTCAACATAGGTAAGTTTGCAAAAAGTTGTTTCTCAAGATCCATATCACTTCAGGTAATATTTATTACTGTAAAATATTGAGATAATCAACTGAAGTTTACACTACTCACGCGTTAATATACATAACCTTACACAATATTTATTACTGTAAAATATTGTGATTATCAATTAAAGTTTACATTATTCACACGTTAATATACATAATCTTACACAATATTTATTACTGAAAATTTTTGAGTTTATTTTCTAAAGTTTTTATCATTCACGCGTTATTATACATTATCTCACACTATATTCATCACTGTGAAATTTTGAGATTATTTCCTGAATTTTACGCTATTCAAAAATATTAATCCCAGTTTAGCTATGATCTCAGTTTTATAAATATCTCTGTATCATGTAAATAACTGGCAATCATTTTTAGTACGAACAACCCTGTTTTAATGTCAGGTAAGCCTCGTCCTTCATTGACATGGTGGAGAGAGTATACACTATTGGATGATGACTACATATTTATATCTGAGGATGTGGTGAAAAACACGCTGAAAATAACAGAACTGAAGCGTCACGATCTTCTGGCAATCCTAACGTGTCAAGCTTCTAATAACAACATTACCGTTCCTTCGTCGTGTGCTGTGACTCTTGACCTAAACGGTAGCTAGTCTTTAAAGTTAACACTAACAGTTAAAAGCTTATCTTTTGTTTAAATACAATAACTTGATGTGTAACATCACTTAATTCAAAATATTAAGCGAAGAGTACAAAAACGCAGAGAAATATTTTATTTTATTATGCCTTTTACTTTGCTGTTAAACTTAATAAGTAATTTAATGTATATCAATATAAATCATAAACATAATTCTTATGTGTAATGACTTAAATAGAATTTACAAAAATACAGATCATTAACTTAATATAGTTCACACTGAAACAGTTGTTGTTCACGTAATTGATGATATAAATAGCATTTCGTCCACAATCATTAACTTAATTAGTTCACACTGAAACAGTTGTTGTTCACATAATTGATGATATAAATAGCATTTCGTCCACAATCATTAACTTAATATAGTTCACACTGAAACAGTTGTTGTTCACGTAATTGATGATATAAAAATCATTTCATCCACAATCATTAACTTAATTAGTTCACACTTAAACAGTTGTTGTTCACGTAAATGATTATATAAAAAGCATTTCGTCCACAATCATTAACGTAATATAGTTCACACTGAAACAGTTGTTGTTCAAGTAATTGATGATATAAATAGCATTTCGTCCACAATCATTAACTTAATATAGTTCACACTGAAACAGTTGTTGTTCAAGTAATTGATGATATAAATAGCATTTCGTCCACAATCATTAACTTAATATAGTTCACACTGAAACAGTTGTTGTTCAAGTAACTGATGATATAAATAGTTTTTCGTCCACAACTATACTATACGCTTATTTATTTATTTATTACTTTCACTCATATGTTCTTATAATTTGCGTATAGTAAAGCCAGTGGAAGTTAAAATTCATCCTTACCAACGACCCTTATCGGCAGACAGTGAAGTTAATATGACTTGCACGTCCAATGGATCTCGTCCTGCGGCAAAGATTACTTGGTGGAAAGGCAAAAAACAATTGCAGCATGCTCGAGAAAGTATAAATCGGGCAGGAGTCAGCACTAGTATGCTGACGTTCGTGCCATCTGTCGACGACAATGGAAAGTTCTTAACATGCAGAGCAGAGAACCCTCTTATTTCTAATAGTGTCATAGAAGATGGGTGGAAATTGCAAATTTACTGTAAGTCGCAAAAAGTAATTTCACTTTGACTCTGTACTTTAAAAAATGTATATCCAATTTGAGCTTTTTGTGAATTAAGACTGCATGGGCAATTTTTTTCTCTAAGAACCAACACCCAAAACTGTTCGCTTATGTTAAACAATAAATTCTCAAGAAACAACAAAATGAATATTTATAAAAGTTTTGTTTTAATAATAATATTATTTTATATAATATTAAAACACATAGAGAGATTGTGTTACGTTAAACTATCTTATTAGCAACGTTAAAAGCTTTCTTGTTTTACCGGTCTTGTTTCTGAAACCTATATTATCTAAATAGATTTCGATCGAATAATACAAACATAAAAGTACTTGTTACATAAAACTACTATTTCTTTAATCTATTATATTTCTTATCAAAAAAATAAAAGTGTTTATCTAATGAAAAATTGAGTTGTAATAGCATTACTTATAAAATATAAGTTGTTTTTTTTCTCAAATTATCAATGTATTAATTTCGCTGCACAATAACCATGATCTCGGTTCACATTTAATTTTGATCATCTTCAAATCTTAAACTTTTCAACAATTTAACTATCTGTATTTGATAAGAGTACGTATTTGGAAGCCTCCAGTGGCTCAGCAGTAAGATTGAAGACTTACGACGTTAAAAGTTTGGTTTCTTTACCTGTGGTGAACAGAACGTGGATAGCCAATTTTGTAATTATATGCATAACAACAATCAAATCAAACACATTGAGAAAATACGCTACAGTTCTTATTCTCATATGTCGACGAAGTTAGTATCTTTCAACGATTCTACGTTGTTTTTCTTTATATAATAATTTTTAGTAAAACAATATTACTTATAAAACTATTAGACAGTTATGCTCTATTTCTTTATCTGCTTGTAGTTCCTCCTCAAGTCGCCCTTCACTTGAAAAATTTGCCTATAGCAGGTGAAATACAAGAAGGAAATGACGTTTACTTAGAATGTAGTATTCGATCGAATCCATGGATCCACTCCATCAGTTGGCAGTTCGAAGGAATGGATATTAAGACAAATCTGGTCTCTGGAATAATGATAACCAATCAGACGTTAGTCATCCAAAGCGTTCAGCTGTCTCACAAAGGACATTTTACCTGTTCAGCGAGCAACGATGAAGGATTGGGTGTCAGCAACAAGATTTATATTAATGTCAAATGTATGTGTTGATACTTCATCTGTATTGTACATAACGTACAAAACCTATTTATAGCTATTTTAAAACTTCAGTTCCATGACAGTACAGTTTGTACCGATTTCTGATCAGTAAAAACTCGGGTCTTTTACTGCAACCAGATGATTTTAAATTATGATTCTATGTCTTCTAACTGATATTAGCAATCTTATAATTTCTAAAAGCTTTAGTTTTCTTACAGAAATGGGTGATGTATTGTTACAGATATATTTAGCTTTATGATTAGAGTATTTATATTTCTGGCTCCACAAATCGTAAGATTTTAAATCTTAGCTCTAATAATTTTAGTTTTCAATTGAGATCATCGTTCGCTTCTAATTTCTGAAACTCGGCTGACGGAGAAAATCTATTTTTAGTTATGGTATGTAACATATATTTTTAATGGTCATATAAGGTTTCATTAAAAATACTATTATACTTATTGAAAGGTAATGTCACACAAACAACCAAGCTGTTTATGGAATCTGAATCCATATATCTAATTAATGAAAATTCGTAATTTTTGGTACCTGAATCCAAAGTTCTAAGATGTTAACAATTGTTTTGTTTGAGTACCAACGAATTTAGTTATGTCCCTGATCACTTGCTTTGGTTGATATGTTACCCTGTTGTTTCTTCAGATGCTCCTCAGTGCCAGACAGAACAGAAGACAACCTTTGGGGTCGCCAAGCAAGAGACAGTTCGCGTGAGTTGCAGTCTAGTAGCTGATCCAGCTGATGTCACTTTCAGTTGGATGTTTAACAGTTCCACCAAGCAGTCCGGTGACATCCGGTACAGCAGTAATAAGACCCACAGTGTGGCCATCTATACACCCAAGACAGACAACGACTACGGCACAATGCTCTGCTGGGGTATTAACGACGTCGGTATTCAACGAAAACCTTGTGTCTTTACTATACTGCCTGCAGGTGTCTAGAGCGTTTCCTCTATCTTCGTATTTTCTTTTATAGAAAATAATGAAAATCTTTATGAAAAACAACAACAAAACTTGTCTCTTAAACTATTATGCAAGTCTAAAATTATTACATTCATACTAACGTAAAACGATTTGAAACAAAATGACACCTTAATAGATTCACACTAGTAATATAATTTAAGTCAAAGTTCTGTTTTACTAGGATCACATGGGTATGATAACTTAAGACACAACTGTAACTTAATAGGTTCTTAACGATGTAATAACATCAACGATTTGCCCAATATTACTACGTTCAAACTAGTAAGATATGCTAAACGAACAGCCCAGTTTTACCATGTTCACACTAGTATGATAATTTAAACCAACATCCCAGTCTTACTGCATTCACACTAGTATGATAATCTTAACGGACAGACCAGCACAGTAATCAGGACAGTTTTTCATACGTTCTAAGTAATATAAGAACTCTTCAGTGTATTGTACCTCGACACAGTTTTATTTACTTTCCAGTTAATATAATTACAACTCCTCGAGACTATTTTCATACTTTCTAGCTAATATAATAATTCTTCAGATTAATCGAGACTATTTTCATACTTTCTAGCTAATATAATAATTCTTCAGATTAATCGGGACTATTTTCATACTTTCTAGCTAATATAATAATTCTTCAGATTAATCGGGACTGTTTTCATACTTCCTAGCTAATATAAAATTCTTCAGATTAATCGGGACTATTTTCATACTTTCTAGCTAATATAATAATTCTTCAGATTAATCGGGACTGTTTTCATACTTCCTAGCTAATATAAAATTCTTCAGATTAATCGGGACTGTTTTCATACTTCCTAGCTAATATAAAATTCTTCAGAGAGATAGATATAGCTCTAGTGTTTCTTTACCTTGTTCTGGTGGAGATAGATATAGCTTCTAGTGTTTCTTTACCTTGTTCTGGTTGAGATAGATATAGCTCTAGTGTTTCTTTACCTTGTTCTGGTGGAGATAGATATAGCTCTAGTGTTTCTTTACCTTGTTCTGGTGGAGATAGATATAGCTCTAGTGTTTCTTTACCCTGTTTGGGTGGAGATAGATATAGCTCTAGTGTTTCTTTACCTTGTTCTGGTGGAGATAGATATAGTTCTAGTGTTTCTTTACCTTGTTCTGGTGGAGATAGATATAGCTCTAGTGTTTCTTTACCTTGTTCTGGTGGAAATAGATATAGTTCTAGTGTTTCTTTACCTTGTTCTGGTGGAGATAGATATAGCTCTAGTGTTTCTTTACCTTGTTCTGGTGGAAATAGATATAGTTCTAGTGTTTCTTTACCTTGTTCTGGTGGAGATAGATATAGCTCTAGAGTTTT